TGTCTTTTTTCCACCCCTCATTAAACTTGATGCCAAACTAGATTAGATTTACAATGAAGCTCCCTTGTTCGTAGAACCATGTTTGCCATGGGTAGGCTGCTATGGTCAATTTCATTACGAATGTTGATTTTGCTAATTTGTTGAGAAATAGTAAAAGGTGAGGCCATGGATGAAAAGGTTGTTGGAATAGTTGAGATAATTAGTGATGATCATCTTGGATCATCAAGTTTGGTACTCTATAATTTGGTTTTGCAAGCTGTAAATTGCTTTGTATGGTAAGAGCTTGATCCCTCGTCTCTCTAGCAACTCGGCCAAGATTGTTTCATACTTGATCTTCTCTACATTGGGATCCAAGCAATTGTCTAGGAGACCTCCACTTTGGTAGCTTTGAAACTCTTTCTGTATTCTATTTCAAGATATAGCCCTTGTGTGATCCCCATTATTTTCAAAATATATTTTTCTTTCTCTTCTTTTCAATCATATATTCTTTAATAAAATAATATTACACGCAAATTCAAAAATTTTTCTTATTTTTTAACCATACATTCTCCATCAATTTACTGTTTCAAAATGTATTCTTACAATAAAATGGGTCTCAAACAAACTCATAGCAATCTCTGGCTTTGTATTGGTTTTCTGTCACGCCTCTGACTGCATTGTGTTTGCAGACCAAGCTACATTTAACAACTAGTGCAAGTCTTCACATCTCTAGTTTTGTGTCTTCTCGAGTTGCCTCATTCCTCTTCTTCAGTGTGGCCATTCTTCCTCTTGACCATTGCCTTCTCTCGAGGTTAATGTACTTAAGACACACATTCTTTTAAAATACATTTTTCAAAACTCATTTTCAACCACACATTTTTCAATAAAATAATATTTTTTTTTCATCACATCAATAACTTTTCTTTACTTTTTAACCACATATTCTTATCATATCACTATTTAAAATACATTCTTTTCTCAATAATATCCATCAAACACAACTCCATTTGCGGGTATGCTTCTATTATGACCTCGCAAACATCCCAACACTCTTCTAAGGAACAATGTCAAATGTACACTCAAAGTTTAACATTGTTTTTGACATTCCATTGTTTTCAAAAAAAATTGAAAGTGTGTGCTTTTTAAACTATCAATGTAATGTCACCACGTGGAATAATACAAAAAGAATATACATGTGGCTTTATATGATAAAGTGTACATTCCTAGGTTTACATTTTCTCTGACATTGTCTCGAAATTCAAAAGGTGATAAGAGCGAGAAAGTGTCTTTTAAGAAGGCAAAAAAAAAAAAAAACATGTTCAATCATGTGTCGTGGCATAATATAAAAAAATGTAAAACAAAATGTACATATAAGATAATTGTATTTGAATTAGTCAAATTATCACATCAAAATACTAGAATTTCACATCTCTGGATTGAAGATCATAATTAGACCACCCAGAACCTTGATAATGCAGAGAAGGCAAAATATCAGTATAAGAAGTCCGACATCAGCTAAAACTTCCAAAATGATAGTCAGTATGAAAGTACAATCGATGTAATGTATTTTCCAGCAAATGAGTTTCAAAAGTTAGCAATTATTTTACTTGAAAGGACTTCATGCCCTTAACTCTTATTCTTCAGCCTAATACTCCAACGACAACGAACTACTAGGTCATCACGAGACTACAGCCATTCCCTATTAGACGGAAAAAGGAATAATGCAATCCGATGAGTCTCAACACATGCTGAATCATATGCGGCAGGTAAAATGAGTAAAGAAAGAGAGATGATATCTTATCTTTATTCAAATACGCCACAGAAACAAGATGAACCCTGAAAATTACCCAATTTTACAACCTGCAGTCAGTCAAGACTAAAACAGACACACGATAAAATATTCCTATTCGGCATAATTTGCCTTTTCACATCCCTCGTTTTTCTCTTCATCAATATGAACATTCTCAATCTGCTTAGTAACCTCATCAGCTGCATCCTTCATGTTCAGAATGGGTCCGTTAGAAGAACCGTCCTGTTCATTATTAGTCAAAGGACCGGTTTGCCATATTCTGATAGTCCCATCTTCAGAGCCTGACGCATAGGATTCACCTCCAGGAGAAAATCGAACACAGTGCACTGGACCATGGTGACCTTTGTTGCATCCTGTGATGCAAAAAAAGACCAAGCAAATGAAACAGCTTAGGCTAGACCCATGAAAGGATTAATTCCAGTATCATCCCAAAAAGAAAATAAATATTGATAATAATGACGGCTATAAAATCCAACGAGAACACTGGGGGTGAAACTGATATTATGCACCTGCATTAGTATGTGAAACTTGTATAAATAAAAATAATGATAGCATCATCAAGAAGACCGTGAAGACACTACTGTGCAACACGTGTGAAATTACTAGAACAGAAAATTTGTGTCTAGACAGCAAGACTTTGGTTGTAACGAAAAGGTGTCAAAAAAAAAAAAAAGTGCCAAGAAATATAATCAGGAGGAAAACATAAAAAGTGGAGACATGGAAAATTTCCCAAGAAAAAAGTCTCAGTAACTGTCCAGTCCAAGAAATCAAGGCACTAAATGATTGACGAAGTAAAAAAAATACTGATGATGAATGGCATAAATAAAGGAACTCACCAACTTCTTCTCCTGTGTGAAAATCAAAAACACGGACCCACATGTCTTCTCCTCCAGCAACGAACTTGTTACCATACTTTGGTTCCAATGAAGCTGATTCCACAATGCAAGGCATATTATAGCTTTTCACCAGTCCAAAGCTGTTGAAAGATGTGTGTCATTTATGGATGAAAGCTAAGACGCGAACATAAGCTATGTTTGGAGATTTGCACAGAATTAGAAAGGGAGAAAGGGATGAGGTAGATGGGGGAAAGATCAGAGATATACTGATTTGCATCCCAAAATTTGACAGTTGACCCATCAGCAGTTGTTATATAGCGACCATCTTGACTCACTTCAGCGCTGGTTACAGAAGATTTGGTCTCAAGCGTTCGAGAAATTTTGCCAGTTCTCACATCCCACAACCTGAGCCGTCGGTTAAAAAATATTACATTGAAAGAATATCAATGCATGGAAACTTAAGTTCTAGAAATCAATGTAGAAGTAGCAAACAATAGATGGACTCAACGATATATAGCACATCTCTCGATATTTTGACCCTAATAAGAAATCTGAAAATTCTTCAGGCCAAGAGTTCATGAGTGACAAAAATAATAGACAGGAACTTGCAAGTTACTAAAGTCCGAGCTAATGCTTCAAGAAGCAAAGTCCAAACCTAGAAGTCCCTGAGGCCCAACAGTTGACCAAAAAGAAATGAAATGAAAAGAAAAGGGTCCAATACAAATTCACATACTACGAGTCGGTTACATCACTCAATCATCGTGGCCCACCAAACTCAGCAAGGACAATATAACTTTACATGTCAAAGACTAGCACAAATGGAGACCCTTTCTTATATTTTCAGCTATAAAGCAGCCTATGACAAAAGAGCATCTGAGGATGAAATGATTAATGGCCAAATATCTTTTAACATTTACATTAAGCTTCAAGCATCATTAAAGAAAGGAGATGCATCAGAGACTTGCATGTTATCATGGGGCATCACTATTCATCTTAAAATGCAATATAGACAATAAAAACTAGGTACTCAGACGTTTGTTACAAAAAAACATATTTACAAGAAGTAATATCTACGAGAAAACAAATAACATCAAACTCAAATTCTGAGTACATACCTCACCCCGCCCATATCAGTACACGTACTTAAGATAGTTTGGTCACTATGGAGCCAAGCAAGAGTTCTAACTGAACCAGGAGAATTTTCGACTTCCCTGGGAGGAGCATCCAATCGATTTAAATCGTATATGCGAAGAACCTTTTCAACGCCTCCAGTTAGCAGAAGGTGGGTATCCTGAAAAATCGATCAAATAACTTAATCCATTGATTGGTATATGTCGAAGTGAAATAAAACTACAAAAAGCACATATACAATGCCACGTTATATTTCGAAAATATTATATGCTAATAGTGAATTTCTGATATATAAATTTGAGTTGGTGAATCTAATGTTTGAACATTACGATTAAAAGGAAATGCACATGTCGACCTATCACTAAACTTAATCAAAGCTGACATTTTACATGTGGACTAAAAAAATATAGTACTACTCAGCTCATATAAAATGAAGTCACTAATATCAACTTTCAGAACTTGTAAAAATAGGAAATTAATGCTAAACCACTGGACAATTAGGAAGACATTTATCACAACAAAATGAAGATATGTCTAGAAAAGAACTTCTAGACGAGGCACAAATAACCAAATACCTTAAATTGCCAAGCAAGAACCATTCCATTTACAAAAGCAGATTTTATTACATTGTACACCTTCATAAACCATAACTGAAATTTTGGTATCCTACTTATGTGCTTTTCAGATGGAAAAATAAACTTGGGAGGGACACGCTTGTTAGATCACCAACATGCATACAACTTCCACAAAACCTGAGTCTTGTACGCAGTACATTTATAGCAAAGCTATTAAAAGCGAGGAACCAACATTGAAAACAAATTTTCCATTTTCAAGATCAGTTTTATATGACAGGTTTTATAATGTTGGCAAGAATTGCATAAAACATAATTTCAACTAAAGTGATGTTTAAAGTTCAGTGGCATCAATATCTTGAATCTTTTTCATCTTTGATGCAAAGCAAAACATAATTTGGCTCTTTGATTCGCTTAGATTTAAAGTTTCCCAGAATATATGACCACTTCAAAAGCAATGTAATTGAATTAATGAATATTGGAGATATAACAAGATCTGATTTTCACATGCAAACCGGCTGGTGCTGCGGCAAATGAAGCTTAATTCAATAATATGAGCTCCTCGTAAAGAACCCCAACAGGTGAAAAGATCTGCACCATAAAGTCCTCATAAAACTTGAAGAGACACTAAGCAAAACTCATTCAAACATTTAAAGTGAGCACCTCTGAGAAGGCACACGCACGAACTATGTGCTTGTGCTCGAAAGAATGCAGTTCATCCCCAGTTAAAGCATCCCATAATTTCCTGCAAACAAAGCCCTCATATATCATTAAGGAACAATCCCTCCTGTACTTGCAGTTTGTTGCTAGCCAAACATCACCAATATTGGTGTAAAATAAGAAAATCCAATGACATGGACCAAACTTTCCAGCCATTGATATGATAATAACTTTAAACAAAAAATATTACAGACATGGATGGAAAATCTTAATTTCATGAACGAATAACGACACTGAAAGAACTTGACCACATACGCTGAAAAATCAGCTGAAGCAGAGGCCGCACGCAGAGCATGTTTATCCAGGCAACAACTCCATACTGCGCCTTTATGCCCTTGAAAGGTTCCAATCCAATCTCCAGTCTCTCCATTTCTTAACATTGGGGTGGAATCTGGGCAGACAAATACAACACTAATAATTAGTAATTTAATTAATTGAAAGTTGGTTCATAAAGATCTAACAAGACACTCACCCCAATGTTACAAAAAATAATACATGCGTTGTCAGGTACGTATTACCAGAAACAGAAGGCATTTCATACTAGGATGAAAGCAAAACTAATTCATTTATGGAAAATTGAACTGTGATGCACATGTAAAATGATTCCAACTTCCTCAAACCTTGATTATTAGTACAGCACTAAATATGTTAATGTCATATTTAAACGGATTTTTTCATTGATCATCTGCCATCTAAAAAAGTGACCCAACATATACAAAATTTATCTATTTCTGGGTTCTTTCATGTTTCATTTTCTTCTGCAAAAGGGAAAAAAATTTAATATTCTGCAGAAGGGAAAAAAAATTAATACACGGATAAAATGTAAGTTATGTTGCTTCATGACATGTTTCTCTCCACTTTGAATATTTAAACCTTGTTTGAGCCACATTAAAATTTTCATTTTCATTCTTTTATTCATTTTCAACCATACATTTTTCAATAAAATAATATTTTCCATCACATCAATAACTTTTCCTTTTCTTTCAACCACTCAATCTCCACCAATCTACTATTCCAAAATACATTCTTCCAAAATAATGAGACTCAAACACACCATTAGTGTTACTTTTGAGTTGATTAGTACGAAAACTGAAGCTTATCCATTCTTAGAATAATCATTTATCATCGTCTATTTCAGGAAAGATATTGATGGCACAAAGCGACAAATAGACCACTGGGCAGCAATTACGAAACAAATGTCTGAGTATTTTGGTAATGAATCAACACTGACGTCGTAAAATCAGCAATGTCATATTTAAAGAAATCATCATCCACAGATAATAGGTCTTAACAATGAGAAACTGCATTGTCATGGCCAGGTACATCCATTAGTACCTCTAGTGTAAAAACATATATCACTGACTTAGATCCTGAAAAATACCATGTAAAATTTCTTTGTACCATCAGCATAAAACTTACTTCTATCAAGAATAAATATTACTCCAATCCGCAAGAATGGAGAATTCCGTTCCATTAATGCAGCCTCCATTATATTTTGCCTTGTAAGGCCCACTACAATCTGCAGGCAAATGGTGGGCCTCGTGCTCCAACTTATCCATTTATTGAGTTTTTCCAATGTTCGACAATAAATTTAGTTTCTTTTCAGAGGTTCCATATACTTAAAAAATAAATTTTACACCATTCAAATTAGCATTGAAATTTTCTGCTTGATGTGCCAAAATAATGTACCGGTGATCATCAAAGAAAGCAACTTAATCACAATCAAGCTCAATTATCCCTCATAATTGTTGTACAACTATAGCTCCACTGAATTAATCACTCAATTAAACAAAATTATAATAGTTGCATTATTTACGTAAGTCATTATACGACAAATCCTAAAACAATATTCAATCATAAACCATCAGTTGAAGTTGCCAAGAAAATACAGATAAAACAATATAACATACATCCATACCGGCCCAAAAAAATTTACCTTTGCTAGCACTGACAAGGAAAAATCCATCAGGAGTGATCGGGCTGTAGAACAAATCAACAACCGGCCGAGAATGCCCATGACAAACTAGCGGCACAACAACCTTCTTCTTATCCATTCCTCACCGTTTCAAACCCAGAGTAATTAAAAAGGCAATTACTTTCTAAAAATACCCAAAAAATCATCAAAAATCAAAGAACCCTAATCGCCGATCACAAAATCAAGAACCCAAAAAAAAAAAATGACAAGTGACACCTAAAATACGGGCAGTTGTCTGATTTTTCAGATCAATTCTTTTTGAAGTATGAAACAATACAGAACGAGAAATTTCTACAGATCAGATATACATCAAAGCTGTATGCATAGACAAATGTCTCTATATATTGGCGGCAATGAACACAGGTGGGAAACCCTAGTTGTAATTATGATCGATGCTGATCCACACCTCCTAACCCCACAATAGATCAAATTTTTTTTTTTTTGGGGTAAAATTAGAACATTAAAACACTAAGGAAAAATACATAAAACTCCATAGCTACCAATACAAAAACAAAACCGAAGTATAGGGCTAGGCGCAGGGAAGCTAATGCGACATTTCTTGGTGTATTTATAGGGGAGAATTTCTCGATTTATCCATTTTTGTGCTGTTTTTGTAATTATTTTAAATTTTACACTTTTGGATTTGAAAAGATAGTCCCCGGTCTTGTAGAAAGTTTTGTGCTAGTTTCCTTTTTCTTTTTGAAGGGTGATAAAAGTACATTATGCCCATGTTTAACACTCTTTCTTTTAAAATTAATTTTCAACTACACAAAACTTTCTACAAGACCGGGG